CGACACTTCTCCCGGACGCGTCCCGCGCGCGGATTAACGGGCCCTGCGGCGTGAAGGGACCCCCGTCATCCGCTGTCGGCGTTGACTAGCGATGCGGCCAGTCACAGTGGCGCGATAGATAGACCGCGACAATGATATCGGGCCAATGGCGGGCGTCTATCTCCCGTCGCATCTAGTCTCGTCGTTAGTCTCTCGGCGATCGCTCGCGCGCGCGCGCATCCTTAATCTGATCCGCGTGCCCCACAATCAGGAGGAGGGCAGCGGCTGCGGGGGAGGAAACAAATGACTCGGGTCCTCGGCGTTTCACGCGCCGTTCTCTCGCACATACGCCGATCTGGGTCGTCCGCTTTGGGCGCCCGGATCGTCGTTTCATTCCCGTTTACGAACACGAACTGGCGTGTAAACGGAAGCCCGGGATCGGCAATGACACACATTGGCTCGCATGCCGCAATGGCGCGTCCGGGACGTATTGGACGGAGGACAAGAAGATCAGGGAACAGAGGGGATGTATCTGGGCCGACGACGCGAGGGTGAGGATGGATGGCACGCGAATAGACGCGGTTCTGATTACTTCGGAGGGTCCCGACGGATTTACGCGTAATATACGCGTAACGTTAAGGCTCAAGGGTTTCGTACTTCCGAAATAAAAGCGAGAAGAAGAAAAAGAGAGCCTTGCCGCCCGGAGAGAGATACGTGTCAGTGAATAATTATTTCTTCCTTCGTTTGTTTTCTTTTTTTTTTCTCTGCACGTCCAGGGCGTATCGCGCGATGTTACGGATCGTTGGATACTGCCTCAAATTATCCGGCGCGCGGAATGAGAGAAATGTAGGAAAATATAATGTGAATCAATTTGATTTCCGTGAAATTACAATTAAAAACGTAATTAAATTTGCAGATATTATAATAGAAGTGATAATTAAAAACAGGCTGGCAATTATTATTATTACGATAATTTGTATCGTGGATGTTTTATCGCGTTGCAACGCGATACCTCTAATTAATTGCATCTCGCGGCCGCCGCGCGCGTTTACAACGTTTAAGAATATTCCCAGTTGAGATCAATATTTGGCAGAGATCAATAATGGGGTCTCGAGGTAAAAAAAAATGGTGACGCGCGCTCGCGCGCCGGGTCCCGACTACTATAAATCCGTCACAGGATAGTTCCCAGTTGTACCTGACGCTCGCAAACACAACATTGCTTTCCATGCTCTCGCATATATCTGCTTTTCTGCCTTCTCCCGCATGGCCTCTCGGAAGCGAAAAATGCTCTATTGATCGAGTGAAAGCATTTTTCCGGCGGTACCCGCCAGTCTTTGATTTTTGATATTAGGAATTCTCATTACGTATCCCTCGTATTTTACTTGGCGGCGCCCTCTTCTTCCTTCCCCCGCCCCCTCGCCCACGTACACACATACGCACACGTACAGGAATATCTCGGCCTTCCTCTACGATTACATCCCTGCCGCTCTCATTCGGTTTACTACACCTTCAGGTGCAACCTGACGCCGTACATGCTAGATGGAATTCGATATAAGCGTCGCTTGAACACGGAATCATTTAACATGAGGAGGAGGTAACTGAAACATTTCCAGCTCTTATTTCTCAAAGGCCTGATCCTTTTACTTCTTAGTACGGGGGAGGAAAAAAGGATGAGACTCGCACTGCAGTCGTACTGCGTGAGACGCGATATTTTCGAGCTGTCTATAACGTATCGCCTTTGATGATACATCGCTGTATAATGCACTCCATAGGGCGAGGCAATCTTGATTCTCGCAGACAAGATTCAGCATGTATCTATCTATATATGTATATAGATATATCATCACGTACGTATATATGTATATATATATATCTCTCACTCCTCTCGCACGCGTATTTGACTTCATACCGCATAACTTAAAGTTCTAAAGAAAAACGTTTCGTATAACTCGGCGCACTTGTATCGAATTCGCCTGAATGTAGACCGCATTACGTCACCATAGAAAGAGTTTAACCGGAGTTTAAGAGGTATCATGGAAAAGCAGAAGGAAGGGGAGCGAAAGGGTTAACTTTTCAGACTCTCCCCCCCCTCCCCTCCTTCTCCATCCGCGGGCCACTAAAGTCGGATACAAGGAGCTTATCACTCGAATGAGAGCCGCGGGTCGATATTTTCCATCCGTTTCCCAGGACCAGAGGAATACTTAAGTTTAAGTGCGGATGTGCTTTTACTCACTCGGCGATAGGAACGCTTAGACTTAATAGAATACGGATACTTTCAGTCAAGTCATTCGATACCGCGCCGCAAGATATCGGAGGGTGTTTTCCTTCGGAAGTATTGATGGCTTGTGACAATCAAGGCGAGAACAATATCGTAAATAAATGAAATCTAACGGGCGAGCAATTACATATACAAAATTAATATATACAATAATATAATGATATGCACAATAATATAATGATATGCACATATTTAAGAATAATAGATTAAATAAAATATATATATTTATCGTTAAAATAAATTAAAAAATTATTCAAAGTTGACGTTCGCTAGACGTTCGTTATCGTCTTTAGTTAACATTACTTAGTTCGCAGAGATGTTTTATATTCAAAGTGAAGTATCTAACACTCCGATGCAAATTCATAAGATATTTCCTATCTTATGTTAAAGTCCGTCTTGCGACGGTGCGTAGAGTGCGACTTCCGCTTGTAGAAAGCTCTCTTGCTTTCTCCTCTCCTCTCCCCCCACCCTCTCATTCTCTCTCTCTCTCTCTCTCTCTCTTTCTCTCGGCTCTTTCGTTCGGGCTGGTTCGTGCCGGGGTACCCCCTATCTCGGCTTCGTGCTGCTCGAACATCGGGCACTCTCGGGCGCGCGTGCGAACGACCGAGAGAGAGAGGAAAGCAAGCGAGCGAGAGGGGATTACTACGTGATGCCGCCGCCGGTCGCGCGCGCGAGGGTGGGAGACGGCGCCCCGTGCTCTAAAGCCCGTAGGCCGCGCCACCGCCACTACTCCGCACACGCGATCACCGTGGGGCACGGACACACACTGCGCTCTCTCTCTCTCTCTCTCGCTCTCTCCCTCTCTCTCCTCCTTTCTTTCTCTCTCTTCGTCTCCCGAATACCTCCTCGCCGTCGCTGCCACCCGCTATTTCCGCGCGACGCGTGCTCGCCGCACGATCGGGACGCGTGTTCCCCGTGAGTGTCGCCGTGACTCGCCGCGAGAGGGTTGATGAGTGCGCGGCGGTGCCCCAGTGCCTCTAGTCGGTGAGAAAAGTCGGTTTGGTGATAGGAAACGGCGAGAAAAAAAAGAAACGAAAGAGAGAAAGGGATAATACATTGCGGACGACGACGACGATCTTACTCGACGTGTCTTCCGCCAACGTGATTATTCGAAAGTGTGGATTTTCAATGTGAACCACGCGCTCGCGCGCGAGGGTGGATTGTGTGCGACAAGGGAAATCAGAGTACAGTGCCACACGCCGTAAGCACGGTTTGACATCCCTTCGATCGACCGCGCGGCGATCCTCACGCGTGCGGTGCGAGGCCACGCGCATTCACGCGACTCGCCGATTTCCGACCTTCCTCTCCTCTCTTTCTCAGAATTGAACGACTGCAGTCGGAGGCGGCGGCAAGGAATCGGTCCGCATCATCATGGATTGGACGCGGGGGATCGGTCTGACCAGCTTGTTATGTTCTGTCTCGGATGGATCGAGGGTAAGTGACAGTGTTATTCCGTTGTGTGTGTGTGTGTGTGTGTGTGTGTGTGTGTGTGTGTGTGTGTGTGTGTGTGCCACGCAGTTTTTGCGTCACTCGGACTCGGCGCGACGGTCCGTGCGGCCTCGTGCGCTGACGCATGAATCGGGGCCTTTATCAAACGACGGGCTCTGCCGCCGCCGCCGCCGCCGCCACTGCCGCCGCGCTGCTCGATCGATTCGATTAATCGCCGACGATCCGCGTCGGGAATGCGCGGCGTTTCGGACATCCGCCGGGGCCTGCCCGTCGCGCGACGCTGTTTTGCTTTTGTTCGCAGCGCGACGTCGATAGCCTATTTGCAGCCGCTATTATGAACGGGTGCAACGGGTGCTGACGATAACGCGCGCGTTGAGCCGCTTATCTGAAGGTAGCCATCGCAAATTGCTCTACACGCGGGCGGGGGAAGGAGAGGGGTCAACACTTATCATCCCAGTCGTTGCCCGATACAACTGTCTCCCACGATAAATTCTTCGACGGCGATGTTCCCCCTTCGATGCGTTAGCGCGTTTCGCTCGTTATCCTTAAACTTGGATGTTTCCCCATTCAACTTTGGTAATTTTTAACTATGAACTAGAGAACTATCACGTCTATATTCTCACCTAAATTCTCACCGACCCCTCAGTTCCGGCACCAGTTTTTCGGAGCCTACGTTATTTTCCCGCTCCTCTGTTCTTGAAATTGGGAAAGTTATGAAATAGGAGAGATATACTTTGGAGAGACCGGGGCTCTGCGTTCGAGGATATTACTGATTCTTGCCGCACTAGCCGTTTGAAAGTAGTCATACATTTATTCTGTCGCGACGAGAATGACATTCTATTGGTAATAACTAAAGTGCTGACTTTCTGAATTTTTAAGCAGCCTCTGAGAATGACTTATGCATTCGAAGTCTGGAAAGTGTAACTTTTGAATACTTAAGTATTGAAAATGGTTTAAGAAGTGATAAAGTACTCTTGGATCCGCGAGAACATCTAAAGGTACTATCATACTGATCTGATCTTTGTTTAAAAAACAAATCATGGGACCCGCGATATAAGACCGAAGGCAAGTCGAAGGAAGCGAGGGAAGTTTCATTCGGATGTCTTCGTTTATTGAATTCGAAAACGATCGTCCTCGACGTTCGCAGCTCGCATTCCTGCTCGCTGCAGGCAAACCGAAAAAGTTGTCGAAATCCCTTAAAATTTCGTAAAAATACTGGAATACCGAGGTCAGTCGCAAATTCACGGCATTCTGTCTCTCGTCCTAATGCGTGTATGCGCGCGCGCATACGCATAAAACACGTAAGCTTTATGAGAGATAACGCGTGGCTGCGAATCAGAACGGTATTTGGTTTACGGATGTAAAACGCGTGAAAAAATAGATGACAACGACGGATAAAAAGTATGTTGTCGTTTTTTTCCACCCTTTCCCGTTCTCCACCGCTCCGACTCCAGTCCCTTGGTACTTGTAGCCTCCGGCTGGTTTTTCCAACGGTCTCCAATTCGCGAAACGATTGCGGCATACGAGATATGCATTTCCGAGAACTCGCACCCATCCATACTCTCAATCTTCCCTCTCCTGTATCCTCCCTGCTACATGCGCTCCCACACCACTCATTCCGAAACTCATTTCGCGATATGGGATAAACAACGGTATTGTCGGAAAACACGAATGAAGCTCGAACGAACGTAACTGCGACCTCCACCGCCGCAGTGCCGTACGATCCAATTACCACCGTGATGCGTCACGATTGCGTATCAAAGTTGCTTAATTTAATGAGGTTTCATACTTTCGTTGATTAAATATCGATATGATGCAATACCTGCATCGGACGTCACTTGGTGTCCCTCCGATCTCCCTTGATTCGAGAGAAGATGAGTGCACGAACGTATATAAAGCGACATTTTTTTTAATTGTGTGTCGAATAAATTTCGCTGGATTATCCAGGAGAAATCTTTTTTCTTGAGTAATCACTCCCTACGAGATGATGCAAGCGACAGAATATCGGTGATTAAAATGCCCGGTGTCGATAGTGAAGTAACGACACTCGAATGATCTTACGGTTGGCTTGACTTGTTCATCGCCCTCGGACTATATAATAAGGGCGAAACGATACAACCGGGGGTTACGCGATCCTCGCGCGAGATATCGGCGGGTAAAAAAAAATTTGTCGCGGAGATCGATAAGAACGTGGGGGGTCCGGAGGGCACCGGGGTTGCTCTCCGTGGGGGTTGCACTCCGCGCGCAGGAGTGTCGCAGCAGGTACGTACATTTATCGTGCATGAACTTCAATTTCGTGATGGAAGTGGATTAATACAATTTAATGGCGTCCCGGGAGAATTATATGCGCGTCGACATCTCATGCCTCGATCTTCCAACAAATACGCAGACATTGCGTACATGTGCGCGCGCGCGCGCGCGCGCGGTCTCGAGATGTATATCGGGCCGAGGGAGGAGAGGGCACTGGTACTCGGCGTGCTTAATGATAATGGAAATAATAATAATTTAATTTAACACTTCGCGAGAGAAGGAGGTCGCGCTCTTGCATTGAACTGCCGACCCTCTCCTCTCCCCCCTTGCCCTGCCACTCTTTCCCTCCCCCAAAATTCCACCCTCGGCAGGATGCAGTATGCAAATATCAAAGAGTCGCGTTTCCCGTCTCTTCGTTTCTCTGACGTCGCTCCAACCTTAATCTTAATCTTTCTTATTATTTATCTTGACTGTTTCCAGTCTTCTACGACTCCATCTCTGTAGTCCCTTATCTCGTACACTATCCCGTAATTTTTGTTGCGATTCTTGGAAGACCTATTTCGGAACTAATTAATCTGTATTCGTTCACGTATCTTTTCGCTTGTCTTATTAAACGGAGTACGCTTCATAATTTTCTCTCTCTATCTCCCTTCTTTCTCTTTATTGACAATATTTGTCGCATTTAGGCAGTTAGAAATGGGTGTGTTCGATCTTTATCTTTACGCAATAATGACGTGGTAATCGTTTCTCTAATATTGTCCAATGCTGACCGAGACAATTATTCATATTACTCTTAAGGAATCGAAATGATCTGATATTAATAAATTGAATTCCCTCCCCTCCTCTCTCTCTCTCTCTCTCTCTCTCTAATTTCTATTTTCCTCTTATTCTCTCTTATATAATGATAATAATGCGAAAGACCGCGCGTGTCATTACCTAATGTACCTTCTTATAAGCTGCTTTCACATGTTGCTTTTGCGTTCTAATTTTATAGTTTTACATTTCTCTAGCGCTTTTAGGAACTTAGAAACGCCTAGAGAGCACCTGGTAAATATCTCCCCTTCTCTTTTTTTCGCTCCCACGTTCCTCTCCTTCCCTCTTTCCTTCCTTTTCTCGCGCTTTCCTTTTCACGGACTAGCGACTCACGTAGGGTGAATATAAAAAATGCGTATGTACGGTCGCGAAAAGAAAAAAGAGGAAAACGACCGTGCGTTTATGAGAAATGCAAACGATGTCGCAGGATCCGAGGAACGACTGTCACGGTCGCGTACATTTCTGCTTCCTATTTCCATACGCTCGTATGCGGCGCGGAAAATATGAAGTCGCATCGCGGCCACGCGAGAAGAGGAGGAGGGCGCGTGTAAGGGACGCGTAATACTACGTGTTTAACCGCCGCCTCGGACCTCGGAATCGAGATCACTGTGCCGCCAATTTTTCACCGCCGTATTTCTCCAACGATCAGATACGGCCGCAGATATTGCCCGCGACACGAGATCTCGTGAATAAATCCGTATCCGCCGAGGACTCGTCCATCGCGCGATAAATCGCCGACGGCACGATCGCATGGTATTTCTATATTAATAAACATTAATCAATTGACGCGTTATTTTCTTTCGGCTCAAGCCAAAACTGAATTCAATGCCGCTTAATTTGCCCCTAAAATTCCTTTTTCAATAAAATATATCTTTTATGTTTGTCTCTAGAAAAGATATCGAGCAAACGTCAATACGTTTCAATGATGTTATAAAATCCAATCAGCATTCGCGGCATTCATTCCAATTTCTCTATAGATATTTCTGAATCACTCAGATATAGAATCCACTTATTAATTAACCCGCTAACCCGTGAATGCCGTTTCGGTGCTGGTTAAGTAAACACAGACGGCGTTGTCGGTATGTTTCGGTATGTTCTGTTTACGCGACTGTTCAATCGGCAAGCCGCTGAAAGCCGCGACCGCGATGGCGCATAAATCGGGGGGGAGGAGGGGGGGAGGTATTGCGCGGGAGGAGATTCGTGACGAGAGGGGGCAAAAAAGCGAGCGCCGGGGGGGGGGAGGGTAATAGCGCGGCGTCTGTTTGTTACCGTTGGTGCTATCGACAAAATTACGATACCCAACGGGCGTTACGGCAAACTGCCGATCCCCGCGCAATAGTTTCGAGACGTAACGCGTTATTCCGCTTAACCCCCGCGAGCGTACGTCGCCCCGGCAGGGCGAGAAGTCGCGCAGATATCGCGACTCGTGGTGCGAGAGACACGGCTTGTATCCGCCGAAGCGGAAATTGCGCGTGCCGTCGACGAGAATGCGAGATCCACCTCAAAATCGCGAAACGACATTTAATCTCGCTCGCCGGAAGACGCTGCACCGCCGTATCTGTCTGCCGATTTTTACGACCATCCGCGAGAGTCTCACGATTCACGAAACATTGCGTTTTGTCCGTTATCTCCGTTACATCTCGCCCGCGAGATATTTTCTTGTCGTTTGCGAAAGTGGAAGCTCTTCGTTCGGAGTTTGAGAATTGCATAAAAAGATACGAGGGTACGTTTTAATACCCTTCACGCGTCATTTGGGCGTAATCGCTCTGTTATCGCATGTAAGTCGCGTACATTGCTAAACAGCCGGACAGATGATAATCTCCAGTAATACTGGAGGAACCGAATCCCCGGTCATCGCGCAACCCTCCCCTCTCCCTCCCCCCTCCCCCCTCCCCCTGATCGTCGGTCGCTTGCGTTTCGCC